CTTAGACACCCCTCAACACGAGGGAAGACCACTAGCCATTCTAAACTAATCTAAGTTTAGGATAAGCAGCAGAATCACGAGGTATGATGGTGGTTTCAACCCCGCCTTGAGGGTCAGAGATATGTCCCCCAATCATCTCCGACATAAGCCACCAGATCCTCCGTATGGTGTTAGGGGGGACTTGAACCCTTTCCTGCGACACCCCGTCCAACCCAGAACTGAGGACGTTGCGATTGGCTTAACATCTCTCAAGTGAAGGCTTAAGGGTCCGGACAATGTCCTAGGATCCTCTTGCAAGGTTTCCTAGGGTCCGTCTAGCCTGCGCATGCTGCGGGTTCTGCGGGGAGGATATGATCTCTCTCAGATCGTTGGGGGCAAGGGAAAATCGGAAATTACCAGGGCAGGCATGGCATTGACATTAGACGATGCTACAGCTGGCCCACCACTTTTAGGGTGAGCTGCCTCGGAGGGCACAGTGTTTGGTTCGTTCTTGGATGTCACAGAGGAGCCGATCCCTGTTTCCGATGGTGACCACTTCCAAATCCACGACAGCTGATCATCGTCTCAAGGCCGTCAAGGCAAGTCCAGATCTACTCTTGTTCTGTTAATTCGCGACTGGCGTGTTGCTAACGGAAAATCCCTTAACCTGGGGGCTATAGGATGAGAAGAGAGAGGAATTGATGTGTGTGGTTCATGGACGGACGAGTCACTCTGAAGGGTGATGTGGTTGCAAGTTGACCTCTTGAAAAAGAAGATGAAGGAGTGACAATGGGGAGCGCCTTAACCCCATTCGTGTGGGCCGATAATTTAGTCCAATCATCTGCGCTTTTAGTCGCTGAATTTTGGCCAATCATGCCATTGAGGACGAGATCGACGTTCTGGTTGGATGGCTGATTGTCCCACATGGGAAAATAGCCTACATTAGTCCCCTTGCAAGGATGGATCCTCGAGAAGGGCACGAAGTCAGCCAGAAATCCGACGTGAATGGATACCTTCAAGTTTCCTTCGCATGGAGATTTATGACATTTTGTCTTGGAACCACGCTGGGCCCCACTCAGGCTTGCACCGCCCACGCCTGTACAAGTTGCATGTAGAAGTCGTCCTGTAATAATATTGCCAGTACAAGGACGAAGTCTGTGTGCGCTGATTGATGACTGAGGCACAACGGGAACTCGGCTGACCAGGGTGGGGGTACTCTGGGGGTTCTATCCTTGTCTTCTGTTTATGAGCACGGGAAGTAGAAGGATCTAAAGCCTGAGGTTATCAAGGTAACATGGGCTTGTGAATGATGCATTCAGGTACCAGGTAACCATGTCATGTACACCCTTGGATCCTCCGGAAGGTTATCGGTCCTTGACTCGAGTGTTAGCATCGAGCCATTTAAGCTATACATCATCGGCAACTGCCTGAAGATGGAGACTGACTGGGGATTTCCCCGCCCTATCAATATACTCTAGTCTTCTGTTCCTTGAATATCTGATGGGTGCGTTTTATCGGAGCAACGGCTCTAAACGTGCCATCCCGGGTTTAAGAGTCGAGTGTATGAAGTACATCTTAGTACTTTGTGTACTTTGCACACACTCAGCGGGGAACACACTTTGTATTTGTACGAAGTACGCAGTCATCAAGAGTTGAGGAGAAAGAGGGGCGGGCCGTTCTTTGGCCTAAACTACGGCTTGCCAGGGACACTGGAGAACAAACTAGCCCAGAATGGGAGTAGTGTCCACTAGACAAGAACGGGAAGTTCTCGATGCCTGTAGTACCTCGTACGTTGACCTTTGTGAAGGGAGGGATGGAGGACATGGAAGGGAAGCGCTACACCATTGATCTGATCCTATCGTCTAGAGAGAGAAGTATTTCACAACATTGAAGCAATTTGCAAACGACCTTAATCCCGGGTTGGTTTTCATCTATTCTCCCCTTGGATGATCATCAATAAGCCTAGGGCTGGGCTCGGCTCATCACGACATGAAACCCCGAAGTACGGGGTCAACAACAATGTTCTGGAGGGTGTTAGCTGACCATTTACAAGTAAAAAGTTGAAATGGCAAAAAGGTTCCTCCGTTGACTTGCCGGGGATTGGTGGGCAAGCAGGCTTCGATAAAAAACTTGAATGTGTACGAAATAAGTACGAAGTACGAAAGCGGGCGAGGACCTGCGCGTCAACGAATTGGTCCCAGGCAATCGAACATTCAATAAAAATCGAAAGAGGAAGAACTACAGAATATTATCGTGCTCTCAGCGATATGAGGTGCCTGCTTCCTTGCCTTGGATGTGGAGGATGCCTCGAGCTGTGGTGGACGCCAATGTCGTTGATGAGGCAACACGACCACCTCGTGGATGGGCGATCGGTCAGGACTCGGTATCTCCCTCCATCCACATCTCAACCGCAAGTTCACGTTTGCCCTTGGAAAAACAAGGAGTCAGATCAAATATCTTTCGACATGCTTCTAGCGGAGCGCCACATCCAATTTTTACGGCTGTCGAACCCTGAACAGCTTCTCTTTCACAGTGGGGAAGCGTCGAGTTCCCTATAGTCCGTCTCTTGTTATTATCTAGAGTGCAGTAGGGCCTGGCCTCAGAACAGCGACGTCTCCCTTATCCCACCCCACAAACCCGGACCGTTATTAGCATTTTAGCCGTCAGGGCTTGCCCATGTGGAGTGCTGCTGTTTGCTCCTTACGCAAGAAATATTGAGCCACATTGAGGCTTCAGTCTCCGCTGCCAGCGAGTGCGCAGTGTGCTTTCGTTTTCATAGTTTCGCATTATTACTGACCTTGAGGAGGGGTCTCTGAACATCCTTGATGTATCGAATGGCCTGGGAAGGTGTGGATGAAGTGTCCCAAGTACTATTGGTAGGCGGGGAACACGTGCCCCAACACCCGTCTCCAGGGACTTCGTAGGAGCTACTCACTGATGCTTCTTCCCTCTTCAGAAACTACCTCCTCGGGGATGAGCAAAAAGGAATGGAGCAAAGACATCGACTTAGAGACATTGATTTGGTCAATTTTAGACGAGGAAAATCTAGTCTACCCCGTGAGGATAATTGGGTATTGCTTCAAGCAGATCCTGGTTGAATTGGAGGCTAACAAGAATCGATTTGGTCCAGACGATCAACATGGAGAAATAATATTTTGCTTTTCTTTTTTACCCAGACACCAAAAACAAGGTCCCCCGAGCCCACCCATTTTGTCTTCCCGGGACGACTGGAAGTGAGTAGCTTCAATGGTGTGCTTGTGTATTTTACTTCGTCGTACCACGTGCACCTCATTGCTCCGATCCACCCTGGACCTGTGGTACCATGTAGATTTGGGACTTGGCTACAAAAGACTCTTGTCACATTGTTCGCTCGTTCTGATATTATTCCCATTTTTTGAACGATAACAGAAAGCGTCTCTCCCGAGTCCGGTGGCCCCTGCACCCATCCCCAACACCCCCAAATTCATAGCAATGAAATACCACCCTCCCCTGTCAGCAGGTAGCCCGAAACGGATATCTTTACTGGATCCACCCCCCTCCGGCACATTGTCATCCTTGTTTGGGTGACAAGTCCAGGTACATGTACTCCACGCTCTACTGGCCCACCACTGGGAAGGTGGACCGCAAATGGTAGGGATCGCAATCGCAAACCAGCTGCCTCGTCCCTTCCTCTCCGCCATGGATACGTGAGGTGAGGGCAAGAACTACTTCGTACGTCTTCGAAGTATTGTCGCTCTTCGCTTTTTTTACCCACTCTGCTCGTTCTATGTTCGAAGTAATCAAGTTAACTCTCCGGACTCCGTAATATTCCACTGCCACACGCGAGTCCAGGGGTCGCTATTCGTCACCTGCTCTGGCTTAGAAGCTGGACGAGATCAATGATATTGTGCATGCCTCCCACTGTTGAATACAAGTCCATCGATCCGTTCCATACTTCTCGATGAGAGTTGTCTCAATCGCTCCTGTCCACTGTACCTCCTGTGGGTGAACACTTTGAGGTATCATCGACTCTCTCTGCATCTGTCTCCCTTACAAAGGTCTAGGTCGGCCCAACCCTCCTCTATGTCTTAAGAATTTGAACATTCGTCCTTTTTTGACCCCAAAGCTGCATCGAGGCGCCTGCGCTCTGCAGCTCTCCGCCCCAAACGGGCCAACTTAATCCCCCTTCGGAAGCCGACAAGACGCACCTCATGTTTGCTTCACGAACAAGACCACATCCTTAGTGTTTTTAACTCCTTGGCCCCGACCGACCCTCACACCAGCCGTATAGCCAGGAAGACAGCCTACCTTCCGAAGGAGGGATTTCCGCCAACAGTCTGCGATTCCCCGCGATCGAGTAGTCGGCACCTACCAGTACGTGTGCGAGAAACCAGCAACGAGGTCGAGCTCTCCGTTCTGGCCGCCTTGAGGGGGCCGCCTCGAACCAAACTCTTACACCGAGAAGGATCACGAATCCACGCGGCCTGATTGCCTCCAACAAACACCAGCCAGGTAAATGGCATTGGTCTTACTCTCGAATATCCGAAAGACATTCTCTGTATCGCCAGTACTTTGAGAGGGTATCTCGACTGCAACTGACCGGCACTCCTCCTTTCTTCTTCTTCTCCAGGTGACGTGCCGGTCCCTCATCATCGGCATTTTAAGCGCGCACTCCTTTTTCTCCCCATTCGTTGTAGAACTTTTCTGGCTTTCAGGTTTCGGACTCGACTTCCAGGCGATAGGTTCGACACTGCACCAGCCATCGCGCGTATTTGACCATTACCTCTGTCATGCGAAGCCCTTATCATTGACATTCTTCCACAACTATCGCACGTGGGTCAACCGTCAGGAAGAGAGGACCTTCTGAGTTTATTGGTCCTCGCAGTTTTTTTGTGTTTTTTTTTTTTTTTTTTTTTTTGGATCGTTACTCTTTCTTTACCGCCAGGCTCTCCTCATACCCCCCCCCCCCCCCCCCCCCCTCCTTTGACTTATTTCCTGGATCAGCTGGAGGTGGAATTCTAAATTCAACTTGGGGTCAAGCAATGCACAACGCAATGATTGGAACTACTGGTATGGACCAGGAATCTCACCCAGCTCACGACAATTCTCAATATGGCTCTAGTTCGGGCTGGGTTGATGTCAACTCCTACAGCCAGAGTCCGTTGCCAGACTATGGAAACTTCAACTACATGACAACGGGGTTGCCCTCCGAGTCTCTGGCTCGGATCGCGCCGTCGCCGACTACTATCCAGACTCACCAACAGCGATCTCAATCCCAGGCTGGATCGACGCAACAGTCACCACAGACACCTCATCACCCTCAGCTGCCAATGTTGATAATGCCCTCGCACGCCTGGCCGAGTATGTTGACGAATCCCGTCACTTACTCCACGCCCCCCATGCCTATTCCAGCTGTTGCTCCTAGTCCTACCGCGGCACCCGCACCGGTCCAGCCGAAGCCCTCACGGCCATCTACCTCAACACCTCGGCGCACGCTGACGGATGACGACAGAAGACGTATGTGTCGCTATCACGAGGAAAACCCTACTGCCAAGCAACTGGACATTGGTCGGATGTTCGGTGTAGAGCGAAGGTAGGTCCTGCCCCACAGGAACACTCGTAATGCACCCGGGTTCTGTCTAACAAGTCTATCCCTTAGCACCGTATCCAAAGTTTTGCGCCAAAAGGACAAGTACTTGAATCCCGAGGATAGGAGTGTCTCACCTGTCAAACGCAACAAGGGGAAGCTACCAGACATTGAGCGGGCACTGGCATCATGGGCCCGCAAGGCCCAGCAATCCGGAATGGAAATCACGGATAGTGAAATCTGGGAAAAAGCCCGTCACTTCGCCCATGGTGTGAGCGGCACTGATCAGGTCCAAAAGCTCGGAATCTCGTGGCTGGAGAAATTTAAGCAAAAGCATGCAATCGGACAACCCAGGATCGTGAGACGAGCGTCCGAAACAAGCATACCAAATAGCGCCGCCAAAAGAGCCATTAGCTCGCCTCTACTGCCACAGTCGCAGGCACCGAATGGCATCTCTCCTGTCTCGCCAATAGCACAGCCATCCCCACTCTCGGGTACCAGGAGCGACGACGAACTCAAGGATGGTCTTGGATCAACAAACATATTTGGATTCAGGTCGGACACTTTCAAACGTGGTAATAACCAGAGTACGACATCTCTGTCTAGTGCGTTCACAGATGCAGGCACCTCATCCTTCTCGGGTAGCGCCGTTAGCCCAACTGGCCCATTTGCCTTCTCGCCAGACTCGAACGTTGGCGGGTTCCTCCCATCTGATCAACGACACCTACCCGGAGGGCCTGAGTCTCACTTTCAGCGACCTAGAAGCCAGACTTTCCCAACGCTGGATATTGAGTGTTTAAATCAGCAAACCACGAACCCAGAACCAGCAACACCCAAGTACGCCATCTCGTCCACCGCACCATCGTCTGCTTTAGAGTCTCCAGGCCGTGAACTTGATTCGCGGCATTTTAGGTTGACTTCCGTGATAACTTCATCGCCTCAACTTCACCACAGTAGCAGCAATGGCACCTTGGGCTCGAACGCCGCAGGCCTATCAGCCAATCAGTTAATGTCCCCACCATCGCCTCGGGTCGGGTCGAGTCCTAGTTCTCCTACGCTTGAGGATGCGCGTCGAGGGTTGGATCTTGCGCTCAGTTACGTGCAGAAGTCTGTTTCGAGGTACGATGAGAAGGACCTAATGGCAGTCATTCGCTTTTTTGAGGGGGTTGGCCTTCGCCAATATGCGCAGAACATGAAAGGCCCCGGCGCATCGATGCAGACATTAAGCAACCTCGGCCGTATTCCTGAGGGGGGAGAGGTCGAGATGACAAACGCTCCGGCACCAGCGTCTGCCAAACTGGAGACGATGATGGCCTAACGCGGCCAAACTCGAAGGGAACATCGTGTCGGGTGCTGCAGTTACCGGGCCATCTTCTTCGGGAACCAGGGCGCAACATCAGTGGGGTTTTGTTGTCCCTCCCCTCTTCATTCACTTCGGACGTTGGAGGGTCTTCAACTAGGATCAGTTATGGCCATAGGGCCTAAACCACGGAAGGGAAGTGGGAGAGAGAAGAGAGGAAGAGAACAAAAGAAGAATGATTTATTGCGCCTGCACTGCTATCCTCCTACACGAAAACGATGCCATCTATATTTCTCACCGAACGACGAAGGCTGTCTGTCTCTATCTTTGCGCAATATGCTGATATCCTTTTGTTCTGGGGACTGGCGTCAGAGAATTCCTAGCAACACTGCGGACATGGCGTTATCTCCCTGGGGTTTTGATTTTGCTTGCCAGGCTAGAGTCGCTCTTCACAGAAAGATATTTCGCTCACGCGACCATGGAGAAGCCTGGAATACTGTCTCAGATCGATTGTTTCTCGAATTTCTCACCGACTGTCGGATCAGCTCCCAACCTGGGCCTTTCCGGTTCACTGGGCGATATCCTGCATTAACGGGCGTCATTGGCGATGCGATTCCTTGATTCCGTTGCATTCAGGTTATTCACTCCTTGACTGAACATTTTAGCGAGTTTATTCCTGCCTTTTGTTTTCCTTTCCTTTTTGCTGTCTTTCCCTATTATTGTCAGCGCCGGTTCTCTTGCAACATTGTGTCTCTCGCGTTCTGGTATTTGGTTTCTGTTTCCATGTTATTCCCCTTGCCGATATCTCTTCCGTATCCTACATATTTCGGATTTCCTACTATTATGATTTCAGAAACGGGATGTTCATAAGGTCAGGGGAGTGTGTTTGTGTTCTTTCAGGAATATGGGTACCATGTCGCCTCTGCATCCTCGCAAGTGGCTGGAAAGGAGTGGGAAGGAAGGTTTGGGCATATGGAAGGGATAACATATAATGGGGGTTACACAACGACGCCTGGGTCAAAACAGAGTCACTTGGACCGCGAGGTCTCAACCGTGTTATTATTTTCCTTGTTCAGTTTTCCAATTTTTTTTTTTTTTTTTGCCCTCTTTCGCTGACGACATATTGGGAGAGAAAGGAGGATCCCTCAAGGCTATCTGGTATCCCGTTTTCCTTCCTCTCGTCTACGCTTTGAGAAGTCTCTCTCTCGAATCACCTTCTGAGTCCGGGTTTGAATGTTACAGAAGACACTCTGTCACCATGCCTCTGAAGCCGCCACGGATGAACAAGGATTGGAAAAAAAGAAAGAAAAAAACACATGAAAAGAGAAAGAAAAAAAAATATTGGGCGGCTATCTGTATTCTTAGCTTTTTTTTTTCTACCTTTTCCTACTTTTCTCCTGTTGCCCGGCTCTTTTTTTTCTTCTTCCTTTTTTTAATGTTTTTCTCTTTCCTTTCCTTTTCTTTTCTTTTATAACCGGTCTCAAAAAATACGATGAGTGTTAGCGTTGAGAAGAAGTGCAGGGCCGATGCTGTGTTTGTGTGTGTAAAATGTCCCGATGCTGTAAAGCCGGAATTGGGGAGAAGATTGGTGTGAAGATGAAGAAAATTATTAACATTATAGGTCTGTTTGTATCCGTACGGGTATCTAAATATACAGGTTGAGAACGACAAAAGAAGAAGAATTCGCTTCTCCGGAGATCAGTTAAGTCTCTCCTCCCACAGCTCCGAGACCCGCTTCTCCGTGAGTTCGGGCATCAGACGCACGAGTACAAGCTCGAGAACACTATACATAAGGTGCTTATTACAGTATTCATCAGCAAACACATCGAGCAAGGAGTCGTCAATGGCATCGACGACCTCAGAGTCAACCCCGTTCGAGCTAGCGGGCCTGGTGGCGGCCGACGTCCAGGGTGGGCGTCCGGCGAAATAGAGCGAGGTGAGCCAGGGAGGGAAGATGGAGGCGAGGGAGGCTGCGGAGCGGCGGCGGAGGGCGAGCAGTTGTTCGTCCGAAGTAGGGGGGAAGAGGGTGGGCGTGCCGGGGGCGTTGTTTGGGAAGAGGGCGGCTCGAAGGGAGCGGAGGAGTGGGGGGAGGCGGGAGGGGTCGAAGACGTGCTGGTGGAGGAGGTGAGAGAGGGTCCTAGAAGGCGGTTTTCTTGGTTAGCCATGTCATGACAAAATAAAAAGTTTCAGAGCCTCCATTTTTCTGGGGAGAGGGTGCCAAGAACGAAGGGAGGGAGAAGCATCAATGTTGTTTATGGGCAGATTTGACTTGGGTCGCGTGGGGGTCAGTGGTGTTTACGCGAGGTGAGCATGCTGTAAGACCGCAAAAGGAGGCCAAAAGGGTAGGAGAGGAGAAGGCCTAGGGGTCTTGTCAAATGGAGCAGAGGGATCAAAAAATTATCAAAGGCGAAGACGCCGGAGAAAGAGGCAGAGAGGGGAATACCCGCGACGGGAATGCATGAGTTGATGTGAAATGATTTCGCAGTAGCAAGAGCAGTAGCGGCCGTAGCAAGTGTCTAGCTCTAGGCATAGGTGCAATGCCGAACACTGGAAGAACCGGCACAGGCAAGAAAAAGGCTAGGGCCTCTCTCTCCGAGATCCTAGCCAGCCGTTGGGTGATCAACCATCTTTGCATCTCCCGAGGACGGAAATGGGCAACTTTAGTGGAAGGGTCGCTTGTTGTTCAGCAAAGTACCTCCCCGAAAGACAGGATCGAGGAACAGGTACCGGTACTTTGCAGGGAGAGCCAGTGAGAAGGTCGGGGGGGGGGCACAACGCACGTCGGTCGGTGTGCCTCGGGTGCAGTGGTAGATGGGTTGAGGGAGGGGGCGTTTGGTGTCTGATGCACAAGAAAGACCCTAGCTAGTAGAAACTGCCCATTGCTCCAGGGCCAGGCCATTGCGGGGCACAGCGTAAAGTTATGATGCAAATGGGGGAGCACAGAGCCCGTTGTCCGGCATCCGCGACCCTCCATCGGAGGGTGAAGCGATATGCTTTGTGGAGGAGGTGCAGCCGGGGGGGTGCCTGCACTTTGCAATAGCAGACGGATTGAGTGGTTTTTTAGGGAACGCCAAGTTGGTCCGAATGCCGTTCCCAAGCCTCGCATCCTCTAAATCCTCTGTAATTGGCACTTGCACGATGGGATTTCAGTATCCGGCCCCCCTTTGTGGGTTCGGGCGCCGGATCGGCGCCGAGGCTAGTGCCGCAGATAGCGACCTCTGCAGCATGTTCGAGGGGACGAGGATGTGATGGAAGAAAGGGGTGCATTTAAAGGTAATCGGAGTCCCAATGCTGAGCTCTGTCAATGAGTGGGACGAGCGAGCGGGATTGTGGACGGGTGGGCCAACCAAGATGGCTCACCAAACCGGTGCGAACTGCTGGGCGCGTAAACGCTGATACTGCTGCATTAGGCGGTTGCGGGTCAAACTCGGACCCCAACACCAAGAAGGCAATGGGAGAGGAATATGGCGATTTCGCGCCAAGATTGGTCGAGACTTTTATGGCCTAGGAAGCAAGGAGACGGAACGGGTGGACCTTTAACGAGAGCAGCCACTCCCTAGGCATAGTGCCATGCGGCATGGAGGGGGGGAGACGATATTCTCGCGCCAAGTTCATGACTGTTTCGCACTAAAGTTGGGAAGAAAATGACTCTCGTGAAGCTCTTCAACCAGACTCGGCCAGCTTCTTCAGTGGGGGGAGGGGGCCCGTGAATCTTGGCAGAGGACTCATCGCAAGATGTCCTGGTTCGCTGGGAGCTTCCGGGGCGGAAAAGCCCGCCACCAATCGCCGGCAACCGGCGTCGTCAGGAGAGCGATTTCTCCTGCGGAGGTTGGCCTACCAAGGCTGGTTGCAGCTGACAACCACACCCACAATCTAAACACTTGGCTGGTCGATGGGTAGACACACCATGGTAGAAACGAGGGTAGAAACGTGAAAGGAAGGTGCATGAGATCCCGTCTCGCTGACACAAGCCATTCTAATGAGATTCCGAATCTCAAATGCTCACTGGAACAGGAGCAGACCCAGTGACCATCCAGTCATGCGGTACCCTTGTAAATCCCTGCTTCGGAGCGGAACCAACATGGTGATAAAGCCAAAAAAATAGGGGGACGGCTCGCTTGCAAGGAAGGGGGTCGGAGACGAAGAGCCTGTAAAAGAGGGGTGTGCTTACCTATCCATGGTTCTATCCACATCCCCAATCCTCCCAGGACCATCCAATAGTCCCAGTTGCAACATTGATAGAGTACCGGCTAGCCAAGGCATACGACTCTGGAGCTCAATTAGATTCGCTATGCATGGCCATATCCTGAAGTCCACAAGAGGGACCTTGGCTGATGTGACTGGATCACCCTTTTCGAGGGAGGAGGCGTCGGGCGTGCTCGTATAGTCGGGACTGCTTTGACTCGTCAGATCTCCATTTTCGCTAAAGCTGCGGCCTCCTCTTCGTGGAAATGAGGAGGCAGTCACTAGCGTTGTGACAAGAAATTGGATCGAGACGAAGGCTAAAAACATCCAATGAATAACAGAAGACAGGAGCCCTTGGGCTGAGAAGCCCCGGCCAGCTGAGGCGGAGCTTGGCTGATCGTTGTCTCGTCGCTTGGGCCGGCGTCTCTTCCCCTCGGTGATATTCCTGGCGAGTATAGCGAGTCCCTCCCATATAAGCCACGGCTGAGATGCTTTGTTCGCGATGACGTTTCCGATGATCGTCTCGGACAAAATCTCCCCGACGAGGGATGTTAGGCAGGGGTTCTCGAGATCCTCGGTGGGCAGCAGAATGGCAAGGACAGCCCGGACAAGCAGTTGCCTGTACGCCCTCTCGTTCTCTCGTTGTAATTCCACAGCTTCGGGGCTATCCGGGGTAGGGACGGGCGAGAGGTAGGGGAGTGGGCAGAGGGAGTGATAGACCTCGCGCGGGTGAACCTCTATCGGTGGTCGCGCTATTGGATTCCGGGCGGCACGACGAGCTGGATGGAAAAGAACGAATAATTAGCAATTTTGCAAGAAGAAGGGGAGTGTGTCAAGGCAAGGAGATGGCCGTACCAGTAATGTGTCTATCAAGGAGGTCGGGAATCTCATCTAGCAGCAAGCTCTCCAAGTCGACCTTCCTCAGTCTCTGTTCCACAGCTCTTGTGCAGTGCGCAATAATCTGTACAATTTCGGCCACAAAGGTCTCGTCGGGGGTGATCTTGCTGTACCACGCTTGCACAAACTCCTTTAGTATGACCGCCAAGAATGCGTAGAGCTGGAGGTCGACGTCGTTTCGACTCGTCAGAGGTGGCAGAAGCTCCTCAATCGGGGCCGCCGCATTGCGTCCCGCGTCGCCATTCTGCTGTGGGCAGAGCGTGCGACGAATAAAGGCTGCTGTGGCCTTGTCGGATAGATAGTCTGGCGCGGTGGAACGGGGGCCTCGCCTGGATACCGGAGCGGAGGCTGCGTAGTTGCGAGATGAGGCCTGGGATGTTGTCCGAGAGTGCGACGATGGCTTCGGAGTCGATGATTTCGGCGGGGCGGCAGGCACTGCCATGACAACCTTTGAGCAGCTCTCACGCTGCCATGTCACTAGAAAGACTGGGGTGGCGGCGTATGATCGTTCGTACGGATCTCTATCGGAAGAACGCAGAGGTGCGATACGTAGTCTGCGGCGTTGATAGAAAATGGTCGGTCGGTTGAAGAGCGGCGATGTGGTGGTAGTACACGTGTGTCGTGTGCTGGTGACGTTTGCGCGGTTCGACTCTGCAGGGCGGCACAGTGCAGGGCTACAGGGGCTGATGCGCTGTAGCCGTGCGCTAAACGCAGCAATAGGTGGGCCCGAAATTCTGCAAGGCTGACAAAAGAGCCCGATGGGGCTCAAGAGTGGTTACACTCCAAGGGCAGAAACTAATTCTCATTGAACACACGAACGTGAGTGACGAGTCTATTTTAACAGAGTAGTTATAATATATGTCTATCCTGGTGAAATTACCACATGTAAAATACAAGGGACGGTATGTAAGGCCGTCCGACTCCAGTTTCACCGGCGCTCCAACAAGATTGTACAGTTCACCCACTCTTACACGCAAGCCTAAGCAGCATCCTCCTTTCTCGTAGTCTCGTATCTATAATCTCAGGGTTAGCAATGAATTAAATTATGGCAGTGCCCCTTGACACCAAGGTCGAGGGTGAAGATTAAGAGGGACAAGGGGGACGGGGGGCTTACCTCTTTCCACGGAATGCCCAAACACCCCAGTTACCACAGCTGACGTCCTGGGGATCGAGATCGTTCAAGTCCCACTTGAGACTTCGGAAGAGATTCTCACCAGGCTCGAGGAGCATATCGAACTCGCCGCGAGCCGTCTCATGTATCCAGTCGATGTCTCTTTGCATGTCGAACTGCGTGTATCCGGTGCAAATGATTGGGAGCTTAGTCTCTAGGAGCATAGGCAGAGTTTCTGTCCACTCGTGACTGCTGGCGGGATGTCCAAGACCAGGGTGGAAGAGCACGAAGCAGTCAAAGTAGGGATCGTACGGCGTGAAGTATCCGGTCTTGTGGATCGTGTGGTAGTAGTCCACGATGGTGCTGATCTTCAGGTTCTGGCCTACGCGGTCTTCGACAACCATACCGAAGGGGTTCTGCGGTGTCCTCTCTGGCAACGGGAACTCGTCGTCGCGGTTTGCCATACTCTCCGGACCGATGAAGATGAGGTGGAGCCTCGAGTCGGGGAACAGATGCGCAAGCTCCATCCAGGCATTGCGCGGGAGGGAGGATTCAGCTCGGGCACCAAGGATGAAGATTCTCATCGGCGGCGGGGTGGGTCTAAGACCCTTGATGTCTGTTCCTCCTCCGGACTTCGGCGGGTGAAGCGAATAACGCAGAGCTATGATTGTCAGTCACGGCATCCCGAAGTCGACTAGACTGGACAATGAACTTACCACTAAAACTCTTCAACCCTTCCGCAGTAACACGGTTTCTGATATTGTACGGAGACAACTCGTGGAGGACGCTTCCGATGGTAACCGGATACGTGAGAAGCCTGGTAGCGTGCCGCATAGCCCTTTCTTCATGGATGGCTGCATACTGCCGAGAATACATAAACGTATCCCAGTTCAGCAAATTCACAACCGCCTCCGGAAGCTGCTCTGCACCAAACTGGAACTCGGGGAAGACCCGACCAGACCTCAGATCATGCTCGTCTTCGTTGATCTCTCGCAGGGTATCACAAATCTCAAGGTGCGCCTCGTAGTCGTCCATCCAGTGGCCCTCGCTGCAGTACACAGGAATACCACAATCCGGGCATTCGAAGTGCACATGAGCCGGTGCTAAGCTGCCGCCTTGCTTAGTTGCGTCCTCCTCCTTGGGCGCTACCGTAGGCAAGTGAGTCAATCGGTGGTCCGGGTGCGGGCAGTAGGCGTGCTGCCTTATGAACTCGGCCTTTCTCCTTATTTCGGGCAGCGGAGATGTCGAAAATGGGTGGAAGAGATCGTTCTTCTGGAGTCTGGGTTTTCTCCCATGTGCATCAGATACTTCGCTTTCCGCCGCCGCCGCCTCCCTCTCAACTGAACGGGATGTCGAGAAATGCCTCGGAACTTGTTGCGTGTGCGCAGCTAGGTTACAACTTGGAACGATGCCGTCGGGGAGCTGTCGCGTCGTCGAGTGGACTGATCTGGATCTTGCGGGAGTCGTGGAAGCAGTAGATTTAGCTAGGTTGCGCGCAGCGGAGAAGTACCGCCGAGAGGTCCTGGACATGGCCAGCCTCACGGCCGAGTCTACCGGTCGAAACATGGCTGGGAGCGGCGCAAAAATCCCGACAATTGAGGGTTGGGTTGGTGTCTGAACTCTTCCAAGTCACTGTCGACTCGTGAAGGAAAAGCTCCGGGACACTGTGGGGTGATGATTTTCCTTCTCCGATGGATGTTATGCGTTTATGGGATACATTGACCTCTCGGGCCAATTTTTTGCGACCATTTGCTTCAATCGGGGCGATGTGGAGACCTAATCAAAAACAGCCATAATTTTTACGACTCGACTCCTTCACTGTGGATTCAATGCCTACCTCAACCTAGAGGAGCGGCGACTGCAGAATTTCTCCTCATCTCGAACCAAGCGTCTCTCCATTTCAAGAGCCCTAAAGGCTCTTGAGACGATCGCAACCATGGCGACCACGTCGAACATGTTCCTCTACTCGCTGACCATCCAGCCACCCACTCACATCACACAGGCTGTGGTCGGTCAGTTCGCGGGCACCAAGGAGCAGCACATTGTGACTTCATCGGGCTCACGTCTCGTTCTCCTTCGTCCTGACCCTACCCAAGGGAAGATCATCACGCTTCTATCCCACGATATCTTCGGTATCATCCGGTCGATGGCAGCTTTCAGGCTAGCTGGAAGTAGCAAAGGTATGCAACAGCCCTTTCCCTATCTTTTCTTGATTCCCTAGTGACGAGTTTTTTGAGCATCTTGTTTAGGTGCCGGCTAGCGGAAGGTACACAATGCTAAACACTTCGTCTCATAGACTACCTCATCCTCGCCACTGACTCTGGAAGAATTACCATCCTCGAATACATTCCTGCGCAAAACTGCTTCACGCGAGTGCATTTGGAAACGTTCGGAAAGTCTGGTGTCCGAAGAGTAATTCCCGGGGAGTACCTTGCGTGCGACCCGAAGGGAAGAGCTTGCCTTATTGCCTCAGTTGAGAAGAACAAGCTTGTCTACGTCTTGAACCGAAATGCCCAGGCTGCCCTGACCATTAGTTCTCCTCTCGAAGCCCACAAGCCCGGTGTCCACGTGCTCTCGATGACTGCGTTAGACGTCGGTTACGCCAACCCCGTCTTCGCTGCTCTCGAGACAGATTATACCGAGGCTGATCAGGACCCGACCGGCCAAGCTGTCGACGAGATCGAGCCTCATCTGGTATACTACGAGCTCGATCTTGGTCTCAATCATGTGGTTCGAAAATGGTCCGAGCCCGTAGACCGTACGGCAGCGATGTTATTCCAGGTCCCTGGAGGGAATGACGGCCCTAGTGGAGTCTTAGTCTGCGGTGAAGAGAGCGTTACTTATCGTCACTCGAACCAGGACCCCTTCCGTGTTCCCATTCCCCGGAGGCGGGGTGCCACCGAGGATCCTTCGAGGAAGCGCAACATCGTCGCCGGAGTGATGCATAAGTTGAAGGGAAGCGCAGGAGCTTTCTTTTTCCTGCTGCAGACCGAAGATGGCGACTTATTTAAAGTCACAATCGATATGGTTGAGGACGACGACGGTAACCCGACTGGTGAAGTGAGGCGGCTGAAGATCAAATATTTCGATACCGTACCCCTCGCTACAAGTCTGTGCATCCTGAAAAGTGGCTTCCTCTACGTTACCAGTCAGGCTGGCAATCATCAATTCTACCAGTTTGAGAAGCTTGGAGATGATGACGATGAGCCTGAATTCTCCAGCGATAATTTCCCCGCCGACCCCAATGCTTCCTATGACCCCGTCTATTTCCATCCGAGACCAGCGGAGAACTTGGCTTTGGTGGACAGCGTGGACTCTATGAACCCCCTAGTTGACTGCAAAGTCGCCAATCTGACAGATGAGGATGCGCCTCAAATCTACACCGTCTGTGGAAGCGGTGCGAGGAGTACTTTTAGGATGATAAAACATGGACTTGAGGTGGAAGAAATCGTCGCCTCTGAGGTCCCAGGTATCCCGTCTGCTGTTTGGACTCTCAAGCTTAATCGCGGGGACCAATACGACGCCTACATCATTCTTTCCTTCACCAACGGGACTTTTGTCCTCAGCATCGGCGAAACTGTTGAGCAAGTAAACAACTCTGGTTTCTTGACATCAGTCCCGACGCTGGCTGCGCAACTCCTGGGCGAGGACGGCCTCATCCAGGTCCATCCCAAGGGCATCAGGCACATCTGCCGCGGGGAGGTGCAAGAGTGGGCAGCACCCCAGCATCGCTCCATTGTGGCGGCAGCGACCAATAGCCATCAAGTGGCGATCGCCCTGAGTTCGGGCGAAATCGTTTACTTCGAAATGGACGCTGACGGCTCCCTAGCGGAATACGATGAGAAAAAGGAAATGAATGGCACTGTTACTTGCCTTAGCCTTGGCGAGGTCCCTGAAGGCAGACGGCGAAGCTCGTTCTTGGCAGTAGGATGTGACGATTGCACTATCCGTATCCTCAGTCTCGACCCGGATTCGACATTAGAAAGCCGGTCGGTTCAGGCTTTGACTGCAGCCCCATCATCTCTATCCATTATGGCCATGTACGATTCCTCTTCGGGAGGATCTACCCTCTATCTTCACATCGGGTTGCACTCCGGGGTGTATCTTCGGACAGTTCTCGACGAAGTCACGGGCGAGTTAACGGACACGAGGCAGAAGTTCCTTGGTCCTCGCCCTGTTAAACTATCCCAGGTCTCTGTTAAGGGCCAGACATGTGTTCTGGCTTTGAGCTCACGACCTTGGCTGGGCTACGCAGATCCAATCTCCAAGAGCTTTGTTATTACACCCCTAAACTATGTTGATCTAGAATGGGGTTGGAACTTCACAAGCGAGCAGTGTGAGGAGGGTATTGTTGGTATACAAGGTCAATCGCTTCGGTAAGTTGATACCCTTCCCCTTACTTTCTATGCCGTTTCCCCCTTGTCAAGTGCTACATGATGATAAAAGGGATCCTATTTGCCTCTTTAAACAAACAAACAAAGGCAATGAGGACTACCATTAATTGTTCCTTCTGAAACGCACCCAACTCTGTTCTTTTTCTCTATCCCGACACTTGTCATTCCATCGAAATTGAGGATGTGAACTAACAAGAGCTCGGCTTAGGATCTTCTCCATCGAAAAACTAGGTGAGACTCTGATCCAGAAGTCTGTTCCTCTTACATATACCCCTAAAAAGCTCGTCAAACACCCCGAGCACCCTATTCTCTACACAATCGAAGCAGACAACAATACCCTACCACCAGAGCTCCGTGAGCAGTTGCTGGCCGACCCCGGGGTTGTAAATGGAGACGGCACAGTTTTACCCCCTACTGAGTTCGGCTATCCGAGAGGCAAGGGCCGCTGGGCGTCATGCATCAATGCCGTGGATCCATTGGGAGATGAGCCACGAGTAACGCAGACCATCGACTTCAAGAATAACGAAGCTGCCACTTGTACTGCTATTATTCCATTTGCCAGCCAAGATCAGGAACCTTTCCTTGTCGTAGGAACTGGCAAGGACATGATTCTCAACCCTCGCCAGTTCTCTGAAGGATACATACATGTATACCGTTTCCACGAGGAAGGTAAGGAGCTCGAGTTCATTCACCAGACCAAGGTTGAGGAGCCTCCCAGTGCAATGCTCGCCTTCCAGGGCAAATTGCTTGTGGCCATCGGGAAGACGCTGCGCATCTACGACCTTGGCATGAAACAGATGCTCAGGAAGGCGCAGGCTACCGTCTCGGCCCATCTCATCGTGTCCCTTAACGTACAGCATAACCGCATCGTTGTGGGTGATGTGATGCAAGGGATCACCTACGTCGCGTACAAACCAATGGCGAACAAGCTCATTCCCTTTGCAGATGATACGATCTCGCGTTGGGTGACTTGCACGACAATGGTGGACTACGAATCAGTGGCCGGAGGCGACAAGTTTGGCAACCTATACATTCTTCGTTGCCCACTCCAGGCGAGTGAGGAGGCAGATGAGGATGCAACCGGCGTACACCTCCTTCACTCTCGGGACTACCTCCACGGCGCGCCAAATCGGCTGGATCTCATGGCGCACTTCTACACTCAGGACATTCCCACAAGCATCACCAAGACCAACCTAGTTGTTGGCGGCCAGGACATTATACTCTGGTCTGGAATTAACGGCTCCATAGGGGCTCTAATTCCCTTTGTCAGCCGCGAGGATGCCGATTTCTTCCAGACTCTGGAGACACATATGAGGAGCGAAGATCCACCTCTGGCTGGCAGGGATCATCTTATCTACCGTGGCTACTACGTTCCTGTCAAGGGTGTCATCGATGGTGACCTCTGCGAGCGGTACGCCCTCCTTCCCAACGACAAGAAGCAGATGATTGCGGGAGAGCTGGACCGGTCCGTCCGGGAGATCGAGAGGAAAATTTCGGTATGTCGAGTTCCCTTTTAGTAACCATTGTCCCCCTCCCCTAGCTACATGCTAACAAACCCTTTCCTTACAGGACGTCCGGACACGCTCAGCTTTCTAATTAACCGTTATCGATGGTCTGCTTTTATCGAGGGCTTTTTCATGCAACTGGAATGGTGTGGTGTTTGCTTCTTATACCTGTACAATGGATCTTGGCGAAGGGTGATTTGATACTCTTGGGGAGCAGGACGGTTCACTTTTGACACGATGAATACCAGGCTGGAGAGGATTCAAACGGCGGGTCAAGTTCGTTAGTGACCCGATATTTTTAGGGAATGGTCATGTATATAGGCTTTTAATGATGATGATCCCCAAAATCGCGCTTAATGAAATTAGTAAACTAGTTAGAAGCGAAACATGCTTCCGTATCTTTGAACAAGGCGTCGTCTTCATCTGATCTTGCTTGTTAAGAGCGAGGAGTCTGACACTGGTCAATCGAACTTAACGTCTTGTCACTAGCTCTTCAGGACCTTTCTAGTGGTAGTGTAGTGGTTGGGGTATTATCTTCATCACTAAAATAGCCCAATCCAGTCTACTTTACTGGGTCCTTCTGCTGTTGATCACGTGACTTTGTAGGTGAAGATAGCGCCTGGCGCAATTTAGGACAAGTTCAGAAGCTGGCGTCGCCCTTGTCGCCTCTTGACTTCAAGCCGAGCCGGTCTTCCAAGCTCGCCACCAAAGCTTTTGAAGCCGTTACAACCACAAGGCAGCAGATCACATCAACAGAACGAACGAAAAATGAGCAACTCAGGCTTCTCCTTAGGCTTGCGCCTATCCAAGAAAGCATCCAAACCCGCACCAGGCAAGAGGAAAGCATTCGGCGGCGATTCCGACTCCGACACAGAATCCAAAGCGCCGGCCGCCACTGCCACGGCGCAAGGCTTCGAGAGCGTTGTAGAGATCGACGTGCTAGACGAAAGCTTAACAACAATACCAGCAGAGCGGGCGCCCTCTCCGGAACCAGGCGCGAGAAAATCCAAGAAGAAGAATGGCGCGCCGCCGACGAAACCGCCGACGTTAAAAAAGAAGAGTGTGCCGGAGGGGATGTTTGGAGATTTATCTGGTGCGCTATCAGCGCGGAAGAACGCCGAGGAAGGCGCAAAAGTAGACGCTAGCTTATACGACTACGACGGGGTATACGAGACGATGAAGCCGCAAAAGGCGAAGAAGGAGGAGGGAGAGGATCGGAGACCCAAGTACATGAGCGGATTGCTAGCGGCCTCGGCGGTGCGGAAGAGGGATCAGCAGATCGCGGAGGAGAAGAGGATCGCTCGGGAGAGGGAGGCGGAAGGGGAGGAGTTCGCGGACAAGGAGAAGTTCGTGACGGCGGCGTATAAGAGGCAGCAGGAGGAGAATAAGCGGTTGCAAGAGGAGGAGAAGAAGAGGGAAGAGGAGGAGGCGAGAAAAAATAAGGGCGGGGGGATGACTGCTTTTTACAGGGATTTGTTGAATCGCGAGGAGAAGGAACGGGCGGAGATTGTGAAGGCGGCGGAGGAGAAGGCGAGGTCTGGAAAGACCGGGGAGGAAGAGGAAGCGGAGGAGAAGGAGAAGACGGAGGCGGAACTTGCTTGGGAGATGAAGAAGGAAGGGGTTTCTGTTACCGTCAATGAGGACGGTCAGATTGTGGACAAGAGGCAGCTGTTGAAAGGAGGTCTTAACGTCGTGGTCAAGAAGCCGGAGCCGAAGAAGGATGCCGAAAGCAGGTCGTCGTCGCAACGAGAACGAGACTGGGGCCGGACCCAAGGCCGAGGATTTGTCGGCGCCGGTGGCGGCAAGCGGGCCATGATCGAGAGGCAGTCGAAGATGCTGGAGGAGCAGCTCGCCGAGTCTCTGAAGAGGTCGAGGGAGGAGGAAGAGGAGGAGAAGCAGAAGACGATTGAGAAGTTGACGAAGTCAAAGAAGACGGAGACGGATATCTCGAGTGCACGGGAGAGGTATCTTGCGCGAAAACGGCAAGCGGAGGAAGAGAAGAAGAAGAAGGGTACTGAGGCTTAGTGATTTTTGCCTCTTTGCTTGTATTATATGACTGTAATGATAACCACGAAAAGAAAATATGGGGTACGTTGGAGAGTAATAGATTCAATTAGCAGCCTGGTTTCATCCGCTGCCGTATCTATATTATTCCTGTTTTTTGTCTTTGTCGCTAGTGTCACAAAGGTTGTCTATGGAGTTTGTTTGAACCCAAAATGAACCCACGATATTGATATACATACCCCCCCCCCCCCCCCCAATCGTACAATTCGGTCCGGAAATCCAACATTCCAAATCTTCATGAGATATGGTTACAAACGAATCGCCTGAAAACACCCAGCAGGCATTCGCTGAGCTGCTCTATATGCTCGTCCAGCCAATCCCCCTCGGAATAGATAAACGAACTTATACGAAGCTATCGTTCTTAGCGTTCTCTCCACGTAACCTCGCAATGTAGGTCGAATTGACGAGATTCCAGGCAGCCATGTACTTCTCCATGCAGTTCGTCACGCAGGTCGATTCGGTGCTCGAGAGGGAGGTGCCGGGCTTGGGGACGCACTTCTCGAAGCAGCTAGATTTGAGGTTCTATATTGCCCAAATATGTTAGACCCAAAACGGACCATCAATCGTTTTCTGGTCCCCTGGCAACAGGTTTCGGGAAAAGCCCATATGGCGAGAATTTGGGATACACGTACGTTCATGAGCTTTTGCGCGTTCGCGACGCTGGCTTCGGTGCGGACCTGCTGCATAACAGCATTCTTGACGGCTGTGGAATCCATTCCGGGTATATGTGGAGGGAAGCTAACTTCGAACTTCGAGAGGGAGAATCTGAGGGTGCGGAATGCGACGTTGTTATACGGCGACGAAGACTTGCAGATGGTCGTTTTCGGTTGAGGTTGTTCTTTGAGCTCCGAGCTTGAAGGATAAATTTTTGGAGCAGGGGTTTTGCACTTAGACGTCACGTCGTCACGTGGTATAGCTTGGTCTCCGAGAGCGTCGACTTCATGAACCAAGATGGATCAATTGAGTACTCTCACAAATTTAGAGTCCCAAATGGAGAATTAATTACTTCCTCCTCTCGTTGTCTGGATGTTCCAATCTGCAAGAATCCAGTAGAATTGATGCTAGGTTTACAGTTGTCGTGTTCCAAGCTCAAGCAGCACCTCTTCCGTGGAGATGTGCTGTGACACCCGAACTTCATCCTTCTGCACGCGCATCGTGGTGGTTTCATGTTTGAAATCAACAACAGCAAATGCCAAGAAATAGTTCAGAAAATATATATATATACAATTCTAATCATGGATACAAATCTATATGAAAGATTAACCACGCATGCTAAGCTCAAATACCCCTGTTGAAAACAACGAGTCCGTCCTTCCCTCCCTTGCCATGGAACTCAGGTTCTAAACTATCCGCCCTAATGCTCTGTCGCTGCGGGAACGCAGCCAGAGCAAGCGGCAACACAGCAAACGATGTGCCAAGGATAAGACCGAGGTTTACGGGGATGGTAAAGTGAGGTCGGCGCTTGAGCCACTCGGTCTTTTGCAGGCGGACAAGGATGAGAGGGGGGATAACCATGATCGGTGAGCTGTTCAACACTCGGCTAAGGGCAGTCTCGCTGACAGCGATAGTCGCCGCCTTCTTACTCTTACCGAGCGAAGGCACGTCGGACTCCGACTTGCCCTCGGCAACGAGCTTGGCCTTGTCGGCGTCGGAGAGCACGGGGAAGACGTCGATACCCTTGCGCATCTCTTCGCCTCTCATGAGGAAGACGTTGAGGGCACCGGCGGACGCAACGGCCGCGAAGGGCACCAGGCGAGAGAGGATCGTCTTGGTGGCGGGAGAGACGCGCTTGAGCCGTGGCACGAGCTTGTTGAGGCCGACGGCGACGGAGCAGGAGGCGGTGACGGCCATGGCGTAGGATTGGGCGAGTTGTTGGTAGGTTAGCGGAGAGGACTTGTTCGCGTTGGCGCTGTTGATGGCCACGTTTAGCGACTGGTTAACAACCTGCCATGCTATCGTTCCCACGGTCTGGGTTACGTTGTTAGCTCGACGCCGCCTGTGCTTGCGACTCAATGCCGCTCGAAGCGTGCTTGAAGGAGTGCCTGCAGAGACACGGTACATACCCCAAGCCCAGGTTGAAGCATGCCCGCCGTGACAACCAGGTTGGAAAGCACGAAGCAAGACATGCGGAACGGCAAGAAGATCGGCTCGCCGGTGTCTACCCACAGTTAGTAGTGTTCGCGGGGCGCGCAATTGACAACATTTGGAGTCGCTTCATACCGGGATGAAGAGTTGAGTCGACGATCTTCTTGGCTTGCCATAGTTCCGGAGTCATGTGTTGGGCACGACCCTCCTTGTAGTCAACTATAAGGCTCCTTGCTCTCTCAAGTCCCGTCTTTCCGGCAAATAGAGTCCTGGAATGCCATCGCAAAGGCAACTGTTAGCCATCGTCGCATGTGTATATGCGTTGATATGTTGATACATATAGGCAGAGTGAGTCAATGGGGCACCACATGTCGCTGGCGACGCTACAAGCTTCGACACGGGCTCGGCGCGACATCTCCCGCACTGTCTCTCTCTCCAATTGGCTTTTACGAATTCCGTCTCACCTCGGGTCAGAAAGTCCTGCGGCGTGTTGCACCCGACCCCAATAAGTGCTCAAATCATACTGGGACTCGGGCAGGGCCCTGATACCGGGGAGGGAGGCCGACATGTCGCCTCGTCCAAGTTAAAAATTAGATGACCGCAGAAAATTGAACGAAACAAACTCAATTCCACCCAGGGTCGGGGCAGCGCAGAATATGACGGGAGTTCTAGTCGGGTATCTCTAAAAAAAGAAAAAAGAAGAAAAAAGAATCGCTATGCGTGGGAGAGGTTGGTCGGGGGAGGAGAACTGGAGGGAGGAGGAAGTCTGCGGGTAAGAATTGATAAGAGCCGTGGAGCTAGTCACAAAGAACTGATTCACCGCTTCAAGCCGAGCCTCGAGGGAAATGCAGATACAAACTAAACAAGAGGAAGAGAGAGGGGGGGAGGGGGGAAGAAAAAGAAGGTAAAAAAAAAGAGTGACAAGAAGTATTCTAATTACGGAGAGAAATCCAGAGCAGCCTTGATCCTCGATCTAAAAAGAAAGAAACGATAAGGTGAGAAAAAAAAAAAAAAAATGAGATCGCCGGTTCTCACTATCCAAATCCAAACGCCATTGGTATCGGCTCAGGACAACATACGCCAGGAACGGCAAAAAAAAGCATTGAACTTGTCAAGCGACCCCGGTAGGATTCGAACCCACAATCTTTAGAGCCGAAATCTAACGCCTTACCATTAGGCCACAAGGCCGATAATGACTAAGTTCGGTACTAGGGATAGCGGTAGTGGCCAATATAAACCTACCTCAAGACGAGATCCAAGATCAAGATTGGTCGCTGCTCACATAATCCATTGGCTGCCAAGGTCGTGCACAAAATCGGAGACCCTCACCCGCCGCGTGGCTTGAGACCGCCCTCTTTTCTGCCCCGTTTGATCCTGGGAAAAGATGTCTAAATCACCTTATCTTACGTATTGCTCTGTATACGGAAAAGAAAGACCAGTCCGCCCAGAATCAACTTACTTCCAGCGCCCATCGTTCTCCTGCCTGTGTTTCCCCTCTTCCTCGACGTCGCCTCCGTGCCAGAATCGACGTTTCGCTTTGGACTTCTCCCAGGTGGCTGAGGTTTCAGCTTCTTTGAAGCGCATCGTTGTCGCCGGCTCTGTAGCTGACAACCGATCAGTTACGCCGTAACTGTCTTGCTCTGCGCTCCCTTAAGCACTCACTTATATATAGTTCTTCGTACATTATCCACTCTAAGGATGGATGAACTTGCCGCTGGCTTATCTCGCATCACCCTTGGCCTAGAAGTCGCGAAAACATATGAGAAAGCCTTCGATGAGATCGTGTCTTTCGCAGAAAATGTTCGGGCACATAGAATCCCGCTTGATGAGCTTGTGGTCACAAAAACATTGGCCAGACCTTTCATTCCCGGAGGACTCTTCGTCCTCTTGACAGAACCACGTTCATATCATCCATGGGATAAGGGTATCAATAGTGTGATCGCAACCTGCAACACTCTGGATTCATTAAGCGAAGGCATTCAAATTGGTTCCAAGGGACACTTAATCCTCAAAGACGACGTCTCGGTCCTTGACTTACGACCATTCCTTCCTAAGAGACTACAGCCTACGCTTAGGGATAGTGAATGGGAAGCGCTCAACGACCTCATATTCTCGGCCATTGAAGCAAAAAAACCGGAAGTCCTCTTGTGCATGGGAGACGTATGCAAATATCCCGAGCTATAACTTGGAAGGAAATGAGCTAAGAAAATGTAGGATGCAACAAATGCGCTTAAAGCCTGGATAGATACGCCGCAGGCGCGCATCGGACAACGTCATCACGGGACTGAAATTGTTTATGCGATGCACCCAAGTCGCTCAGTAAATCATAACAAGACCGATGCCGACATGCGCGAGAAGCTATTCCAGTCGATTTGTGAGGCATGTGATAAGCTACATGGGAGATTTGATGTCTCTATATTAGAGGAGGTGCCTGCCCCAGGGCCACTATTCGCAGTATCTGAGAATACGAGGTGTCTAGAAAAGTTTTTGGAAGTGGTACTAATGTCCTGCTTCCTACCACAACATCAATTACCTGGTCCGAATATTGTGATGGGAGAACGCAGGCGCTATAAACTGGAAACCTGGCATGAGAAGTGGTTCAGACATATGGAGAAATACCTAGATTCGACAGAACACCGCGAGCATCAGGCCAGGGCATCCCTCATCCCAGTTTTCAAGCAGTTTAACAAATTACTGAAAAGGGCTTCATGGTTTCTGCCTATCTACGAAGTCGTCGATTGGCCAGGCGTTTGCCAGGTATTCGCAGAGCGACTTCTCACGATTGAATATGCATGTTACTTGTTAGCTGGCGACACGGCGGTTGATATAAGTTTTCCTGCGAGCAGAGACAACGCGTCAGTACGTCAGGAGCTAGGCCATGTACTCACAAGAATGGAGGAGATAACAGCACATGTTACGAAGCTTTGGGAGGATAGGCGTCCACATCGGCAACGGATGAGTTGCTACATAGGCTTTGGTGATGAAGCTTAACAACGGAGAACTAGCTGAGATAAGAGATTAAATAGTGGGTAAAGGGAATAGCAAAGATATATTATTTGACAGTATAAGTATTAACGATGATAACATAGGTTAAAGCGCCGGCTACTGAGGCCTCAGACCATTAGACAAGATAATTACCCGTCCTCCCTCAAAGCAACTTATATCCATCTTAAACTTATCTGCTAGAGGGTCTCGGTCGTGTGGCTTGGAATGTCGTTCCTAATTCACTCATGGACGATCATAGTTCGCAAATACTAAGACCAGAATCTAGATTTCGGATATTTATATTTTCTACCGGTAGATACGTACCAAAGATATCTTTCTCGTGGTCCTACCAAGCTGTTCTGGCGTCATGAAATCCGCAACGTGAATCGATTCTCACGGGGGCTCCGAGTGTGGGCTGGTGCTAAACTTGGGATTGCAGTGGTGTCGTAGGCCCTTGCCCCGCGGCAATAGAGGCCCCCTACAATTAGCAATTAGCCAGCCTTTTTAGCGCCCCATCGGACGAAGATACTTGAATACCTGATTTCCTCGATGACGAATCCTTGACTTGGTACGGTGTCTATGATTTTTACAATGTCAATACCACTGGACCTGACAACTTAGCTAGATCTAGAGTTCTTAAAGTAGCAAAAACGAAAAGATGACAACGGATCCCAAGCGCTGGACTTTCACGAGCGGGTCATAGGTGGTCCGTGCTCCCCATATCCTTTTCACCAGTGGCTCCCTTCTCTTCACACCAGTGATTTTAACTCAAGTGGCCCGCACCCACCAGCGGCCCGCACTTTTGGCATTTTCCGCCGCCAGCCAACATTTCGTCATGGAGACGGGAGCGTCAACGCAAGGAGAGCCCTCTAGGTCCGCAAGCAACCCCGATTGCTTGCCAATTCCTCAAATCGGCGACTCAATCGTCGTCGTTGGACGGAAACTGATAGCACTAGCCGACGCTGTTCGTCGTGGGCGAAGCATCGCAGTCGTAACTCACTACGCAGCTTCCACAAACCAGGAACGCGATCCTGTGAAGGTCGCGGTTGCCGATATGTCTCCACTGGAACTCTCCTACTGGCGTCAATATGCCGAGGGGACTTACCCCCTACCTAAGATCGACTGGGACAACAGCTGTCTGCCCGCGCCAACTGCCGCGAAGCCTCTGCGCACAGCTCGTCGTCGCACGGAAGCGCTGAATCGCCTGTACAAAACTCGGAATGCTGACCCAGGTCATGCGGTATGGTTTACGAAGAACGAAGCTCTTCACCTTCCCCTCGTCAAGGCCATGGCACGCGTCATCGGAGCTGAAAGAAATCTTCTGGGCGGACAAAGCACGCTGAGCTCGACCCGGATGGCTGATTTGCAAACGATCAACGAGGTCTTGTCTGTGTCTACACAAATTATAGAGGGGCTAGGATGCGACAATGCCATGTGGCGAGAGATCTCGTCTGCACAGAAAATCTTAGGCTCGCATCGCGATATGCTGCGAGAGCTTCTGCGGGGAAACACAAAGAAACGGAAAAGAGAGTCGGAGTAGTTGTGAGTATAACCCGCAAGAAGCAGTTCTCGGGCGGCAGCGTCTACTATGATGAAATCGTAGGACTTGAAAATTTGTTGAGAATGAATAAGGATCCATCGCCGACTTTCCTCATTAGCAGAGTAAAGTATGAGTGAAGTATACCAGATGTAGTCAATGATTTCCCTGTTCTTCAAAACCCATCCTCCGCTAAAGCTCAAGCACCAATCCACAGCTACGTGACGTCCAGCGCTCACCTAGATACCGAAGCTACTAGGTCTTCTGAAAGCAAAGTTTCTTCCTACCTGTGCCCTGTTGTACTTTTGGCGGGAATATCTAACACCTCCATCGGCGTAAACGCGGGCAGATATCAGCCGTTTGCCGTTCTTGAGCAGACGCGCAACTTTCCGGACTTCTACGGGGAAACCAAAGAGTTGAAATGGATAATTTAGTTAGGGCTGTGGGTTGGATGAGCAAGAGTTATCTGTATGAAGCAGCAATTATTCGTTGCTAGCTGACGAAGGCATTCGCTAAACAATGATATGCACGGTTCCCTCCAGCTCAGCCCGACGACGCAGAGACATGCAATCACCACATCGAACTTAGTTTTTTTCGGGGAAGCCACTGTCTCAAGGCGCATTGGGTTGAAGAGATGGGGGACTTCTGAAGCAAGTTGTAGCAACGCCATGGAAGCAGCTGCGTACCGGCCCAATTTGAGAATCGCGTAGATCCAGCGCGGCCACCGCAGGCTGTCGGCACAGAAGATGTCCCTTAGGTTCGCCAGGTACGCCCGCTTAGCTTCTAGGGCCCATCGAACAAGCCAGACAAGGGGCTCCGGAGCGGGATCTAGAGGCAAGTCTCGAATCGACGACACCTGTTCAATCCACCCAGAGAAGCTCCGGAGGGCGGAATGATCACAAGGGTGGGGTAAGGATGCACCAGCTTCCGATTCCAGCACTTTAAAACCTTCTCGAAGAACGTGGAGGGCACTGTGGAGATCCTTGAGGTAATGTCGGATTCGTGCGATGTCAAGGTCAAATATGCTCAATGCAGATGATTTCCAC